TGATGTAGGCAGTGACAGTCTCTGAGTACTCTTGGAGGTCTGTGGAGTTATTGTATGTGGCAGCCTGCTTAAACATATTCCAGTCAGTGGTGTTAAAACAGTCTTGAAGAGCCTCTGACGACCCTTCCGGCCACACTTGTATCTGTTTATGAACTGGTTTGGCGACTTTAACGAGCGGTCTGTATGCAGGCATTAGCATGAAAGTGATGTGGTCTGAGGCACCGAGGTGGGGGAGGGGGAGGGCCTTGTAAACACCTGACACCTAACACCTGACACTCTTTTGGGTTTGCTACTGTTTCAATTAATGTTTGGAAATGTAAACTGATATTTCCTACTGACACACTACAGCAAAAGATAGAAATAACTGACTTAAACACATTTTTTAGCTGCTGAAAATACTAGTGTTTTAATAATTTTGCCCACTGAATACGTTTAGCAGATAGCAGAAGATAGTCTCGCTGTTATATTCTCCTGAGACCCATGGTCTTTGGTCTATGGCTGACATTAATTTAGTGATAAAATTGCACATCCTTATGGAAATATGATTATATCCGATTAATTTTCAAATTGTTTGTCATAAATCAACATCTCAGGAAAATGTTATGGGGTTCCAAATCAAAATGTGACTTCCTGTTATGAAACGGGACATTATTTTATACATGTCCACTGTTGAGGACACCGGGACTAAAATGCATTTTTATTATACATTTTGGGCGACAAACCAATTGAATAGGAAAACAAATATTCTTATGAGACATAAGATAGTATTATGAAAATCTGACTAATTACTACTCCCATTATTACACTTCTTTTTTTCAACATGCTGTCCCAACAGCATATGCAAATTAGATACAGTGTATAGTTAACATTGTGTTTAATGGGAAAACCAATTTTACACACATATTTCATAAAGCAAAATCATTTTGTTATATCTTCTATCATAATTGAGATTCATCCTTACACAAAGTTTGGTATAGAAAAATCCTAAAACCTTGCCTTCTCGTGTCTAATTCGTGGAATTGTATTTTATTTTTTTTAGAAAATCCTCAACAGAGCACACTATGGAAGCCCGTTTCCGCCATTGAATAAAAAATAAAAGAGGTAATTGCGACTTTTTATCTCACAATTCTGACTTTTTTTCTCAGAATTGCGTGATATAAAGTCGCAATTGGGAGTTAAAAAGTCATAATTGAGAGATATAAACTCGCAATTGCGAGACATAAAGTCGCAATTCTGAGAAATAAAGTCAGAACTGCGAGATATAAAGTCACAATTCTGATTTTTTTTCTCTCAATTGTGACTTTATATCTCGCAATTCTGACTTTTTTTCTCGCAATTGTGAGTTTATATCTCGCAATTCGGACTTTTTTTCTCAGAATTGTGAGATATAGACTCGCAATTGCGAGATATAAAGTCAGAATTGCGAGATATAAAGTCA